AACACGCCGGAGAAGAGCCGACTACCGCAACCATTGCCTAGTCTCCGACATTGCACACGCCCATCATCCTTGCCACAGAAGCCTCGACGCAAACACCACCAACTTCCATCGGCCCCGCTTGATGATGCTAGCTCCAAAGACGAAGCCCTCGAGAGGGGATACGATGCTAGAGCACCGTCATCGTCCGATCCCATGGATCTAGGGTTTCCCCCAAAGCTGCGAAGATTGAAACTGAGAGTACCTCGACGATGCCAACAAGAAGGAAACGACGCTTGAAAGCGTCGCCATCGCCGGCTCCGGACACACCGGAGACAAGCTTTCTCCCGGGTCAACATCACGAGCCCCAAACATCATGCATAAGCAAGCCCTCCAACGAGCCACCGAGGGCAAATTCGGTTGGATCTGACCACCTTCACACTTCGCAACCTCCGAACAGATCCGCGCCAACTGCGTCGTCCGCCTGCCGCCCCGACAACCGAAGACCTCCACCGCGCGGCCGCCGCACGCTGCACATCCAGAGAGGATCCCTAGCAGGGAGGGAGGGCCGCCACCCCACCCCATCTCGCCGGACGAGCTGCCGGATCCGCAGCCCGTCAACCGAAGCACGAGCAGGCACCACCACGGCACCAAGCAGGAGGAATGCAGCAAGGGCTCCACCAGGACGCGCAGCAGGGGGCCGAGCCTCCGTCCATCCCAGCACCATCGACCGCGCCGGCCACATCTCGCGAGGTCCAGATCGGGCCCGTACGGGCGCCACGACCGCGACCGCTTGCCCGTGGCGCGCCCGCCGCCGCGACCAGATCCCGGCACAGCGCGCCGGAGACCTCCTCCACCGCGAGCCAGGACGCCGCCCCGGAGCCAAGCGTCGGTCAGCCGCCGACCACACGCCGTATCCCCATCCCACGAGCGAGCGGCAGCAAGAGGATGCCCCGCCGCCGCCGGCTCCGCGCAGGCTTTGCCTGCCGGAGGCAACCGGCGACGGCGAGGGGGAGAAGGAGGCGGGAGGGGAGAGGTGCGGAGGCGGAGGCGGGAGCCGCCCGTGTCGCCCCCGGGAGGGAGCGGCGCGGGGGCAGGTTCTACTGCTCTCTTCTCGAAATGTTAGTGATCTAAACACTCTTATATTTGCTTACGGAGGGAGTATTCATGTTTACTAACCAAACTAGGACATGATTAATGATTAGTTTCCCACACACGTCGATATATTGCAGAAGGCAGCTAATTCTAGAGTAAGAGAACAACAATTTGAGAAAAACAATTCAAATTATAAAAATTCATATTTTTAAGGGGACAAGTAACAAAAAAGAAAAGGGGAAATGAAAAAAAACAAAGGAAAAAAGAAACAGAAACAGAAAAAAAAGAACGAACAAAAGGAAAAAACCCGGTTTTAGACTCGCGAACCTGCGGGCACGCTGTGGGCATAGTACGTATGAGAAAAAAAAACTAAATGGGTCGAGCCTAGTATGGAGAGGGGTGTGCGCCGGTTGGAGAAATGCACTCTACCCGGCGCTGAGGACGTCGAGTAGGGTTCGCAAGGGGTTTCTAGGAGCTTCTAGGGCATATTTAGATGGTTTATTTTTTGCGTGATTTATTTGGTATACTACCTCGTCTGGTTTATTGGTCCCCATTGTATTTTGTGCCAATTTTAACCATAGATTTAACTAACAACATGTTTATGCATGTCATCAAAAATTATATCATTGAAAACTATATTCAAATACTAATCCAACATATAATTTTACTTGACATGCATTAATATTTTGTTAGTTATATCTTTGATCAAAATTTTGGCACAAACTACAAAGAGGACCAATAAACCAGGACGGAGTTAGTATTCAACAATGTCCTAATGGAGGGTGTGATGAACAAAGATAGATGTGATGAACAAAGATACTATGCTTCTTTGCTTCACTTGTCCCTTTGATGACTACAATGCTTCACTTGTTGTTTGCTTATTGTAATCTGGCTTGTGTTGCTGTTATGTAACACCTTGTATCTTGTCTCTTTCTCTCTCTCTCTCTCTTTGTATAGTGTTGTACTTGTTTGCAAGGGCGTCACTTTTGTAACGTGGGCCTAGAAATCATCACTCCAAAATGATTTTGTTTTTTAGCATTGATTTTTTTGCCACGACTTCCATGAATGTCATCCACTGATGAAACTTCGCAAGAACTCAAAACAGTGGTCAATATTTGGCACCAATTTTTTTTTCTTCTTCATATTTTACTGTTCATGATGAGATCATATGAGCTCAAACTGAGATGGAGACTTTCCGACACTTTTGTTATGAATGCAAATGACATGCACATATAGGTGATGTTTTTCTGAACATTTTGATATCTTGTTTGTATTTTTTCGAATTAGTATGAATTTGTTATGAAGTTTTAAAGTGACGGTCAAACGGTCAAAGGGCAAAAGCAAAAAGGGAGCGAAGTGGCTTGGGCAGAACCGAGGGTTTTTGGAAGCTAGTGATAAAACTGTTGAGTGTGACCCAACTAGGGACATAAAATTAGTTATCTCTTTCACTACTATGTATTGTAAGAAATAATAGCTAGAGTTGTATAATTAATGGAAAGAACTGTTTGTTTATTACACATTCTAATTTTAAGGCTCGGTATTGCATTTTGGCATCAAAGCATCCAGTTCGTAGAGGCTGCCCTACACGCACCCAACCATAGCCGACGTGCAAGTCAGGAGAAGCACATTCGCCGTGAGGCCTGCGATTGCAAGGGGATGAGATGGATAGGATGAGACGCGTAGAGGAGTAAGACTAAGCCAGATTGCTTAGGGTATTTTGGCTGATGCGGTTAACCAAAAACCAAACCGAATTAAGTAGGTGAATTAGGTTGGTTTGATCTTTTTCTGCGAAGAATTCAGTGATCATTTTCTATAATCTGAATATCTACATTCGCCGTGAGGTGCATATGTGGTTACCATGGCTGAGCTTATGAGTTGTGACTACGAGAGATGGGCTAACTCTTTGGTCTTTGCAAATCCGATATGATGGGGGTGCACTAATGTTCAAGCGGAGTTTGGTTTTATCATCATCGAAAGACTTCTAAAAATAAGAGTGGCATGCTATTTTTTTCTTTTATATTAGAAGAAAAGAAAAACTCATTCGAAATTTAAACAACCACTTTATTGATTCAAAGTGTGTATCCACTAGAAGCAAGAGATTTCTCGGCAAACACATAACACGACAATCTAACGAATTATCTTACATGAAGAATTATTAGTCTCATGTTCCTTTTCTCCAAATAAAATCCTGAGATCTTCATCTTAAGTGCAAAATTCTATCCTCAGTTACCTTAGAAAACATATAATCTGAGCTTGGTCCATGGAAGACACTAACCGATCGAGTAATCAATCAGAGGAAAATGGGTTCAGCATGGGCAGCCGCCACCCAGCTTTCGATCTCCGTCTTGAGTGCATATTGCAGCACGAGCGGCCCCTTGACGAGGACGACACAGAACCTCTCAAGAAGCAGCGCATTGCGGAACAGAAGCCTGGCCATCATCCTCTGCAGCCTGTCACCCTCGTAATGAACCATGTTGATCTCCTTCAGTCGATGTTGCAAGCACGGGATCGAGAAGCTCGACTCGTCGGGCGCCGCGAGCTCGTCGGGAACCCAGGAGCGCTCCATGAACAGCGAGAGGATCTCCAGGTTTGGTGTTTGCTCCAGGATCTGACGTGCCGCGTCGGGACTCAGAAGGGGACCCTGCAGCGCCAGCCTCGTCAGGTTGGGAAACGAGGGGAACCCGTCGAAGGATCTCGCCGGGAGGCGTCGGTGGTGCAGATGCAGGCGCTTCACGCCGGAAAATTTCCCCATAAACCCCCTGAACCTCGCGAACTCCGCCTCATCGTTGGAACGGACTTTGCAGAAATTGAGGGTGCACGACATGATGGCCGCCGGCGCGCCGTGCAGAGACAGGAACGCCTCCTCGGGGACCGGGCCGCAGTAGTCCAGCGAGACCAGCTCGGAGGCGTCAATGTCGACGGACTCCACGTCGTGGCAGCACCGGAGGGCGAAGCGGCGGAGGCGTCTGTCGAGGACGGAGACTGTCTCCACGCCGGCGTCGGCTTCCAGCGTCAGGTCCACGAGGCGGGGGCAGCTGGCGATCAGCCGCTCGACGCAGGTCCCGGAATCGCCGTCGACGGCGGTCAGGTGCAGCGTCTCGAGGAACGGCAGGTTGATGGCGGTCTCCGGCAGGTTCAGCAAGCAATAGCTGAGGCGTAGCGAGCGCAGAACGACGCATGAGTAGAGATTCGTCGGCATCTCATACCAGCCGCCCCCTCTCCGGCGTCCGGGCCTGTCGCCGCAGGGTTCGCGCGCGCAGACCGGGCGGAGCTGAAAGCGCAGGTCGAGGTGGAGCTCCTGGCTGCTGCACCGCAGCACGTAGGCGAGCCACTGGTCGACGTGGCACTCGTTCCACCAGTGGCAGTCGTCGAAGGCGACGCGGAGGCGGTGCAGCGGCACGTGGGCGCGGGCGCACCGGCGGCGGCAGAGCAGCGCGTTCCAGACGTCGTCGAGGAGCACGTGGCTGCAGCTCTTCTTCTCCTTCGCATCGTAGTAGAAGGTGGTCCAGTCCTTGGCCCTGGCGCCCTGGCGCTCGGCGAAGGAGACGGTGTGGACGTTGCGGAAGACGTGGCGCCACCGCCGGGACAGCTCCGCGGCGCGGCCGGCCTCCTTGGTCGGGAGGAAGGAGAGGACGCGGCCCAGCAGGAAGTCCGGGAGCTCGCTCAGCCGATCTCTGTTCCCCGACGGCGAGGCCACGCCGACCCTTTTCTTTTGCGGCGAACCCATGACGATCCGATCTGGCAACTAAGCCGTCGATCTGAGAAAGGTTGTGGCAACGACTAATATAAGTCGAGAACCGACTCGTGGAGTTACCGACTAATGAACCTACTAAATTTTTTTGGCAACCGACTCAGATTTATAGGCGATATAAGAGGAGATTCGCAGATCATCCATCCACCTGATCTGACCTGATCGCCGACGACCGAAGATGGCGCCGCCGCACAGGAACGGAGGAAACCGGCTGAGCGCACTCCCCGACAAGGCGCTAGAGCGCGTCCTCTCCCACCTGATGTCCGACGAGGCGGTACGCACCAGCGGGCTCTCCCGGCGATGGCGCCACGTCCACGAGGGCGTCCCCGTCGTCCACCTCGTCGACACCAAGTCAGGCGAGCGGTACGGCCGCTCCGGGAGCGACCTCAAGGTCTGCTTCGACCACCAGGTGACGAGCGCGATCATGGGCAAGGGCATGGCGACGCCGATCCGCGCCTTCCGTGTCAGCGCGGTGCACCCCCCGTACGACCTGCTCGACCAGTGGATCGCCACCGTCGTCAACTCCGGCGTCGAGGACCTCGACGTCAAGCTCGGGTACTGCGCCGACTCCATGGGCACGCTCTGCCCCTTCCTGCGCTGCCCCATCCTCGGAACGAAGCTCTCGGCGGACTTCGACAGGCACGACACCAACAGGTACACCGGGACGCACCCCCACATCTTCGGCTGCCCCACGCTCCGCCGGCTGCGCCTCACCAACTGGACGCTCGACCTGCCGGGGAGCGTGGACATGGCGGCGCTGGAGACGCTCTGCCTCGCCAGGATCATGGACCCCCACAGGGAGCTGCAGCAGCTCATCACCGCCTGCACGGGCCTCGCGAACCTGACGCTGGAGGAGTGCCCGAGCATCAAGGAGATAGCCGTGACGCCCGCCCGCCTGCGGAGCTTCGCCATGATCTGCTGCCACCACGCCACGGGCGTCCAGCTGCAGACCACCTGCCTAGAGTCGCTGCACTACAAGGGCGGCCTTCCTGCCCGCGGCTCGTCCTTCATCACCGTCGCAAACTACAACGGAGTCAAGGCGGTGAGGATCGAAATCTGCGAAAAACTCACCGGGAACCATGGCTGTGAGCAACCAAACGATGTTGCGCCGGTCACAAACCTCATCCGCCGGTGCGCCAGGCGGGCGTATCTTCACCTTTCCTTGCGCCCATCCATGGCCTGCAACATGTTCACCGGCGTCCTGCGTGGCCTGGACAGCCTCACCCACCTGAGCCTCCAGGGCTGCCTGCCCACAGATGACGCCGTCCTGTCGGTCTCCACCTTGCTTGCCGAGGCCAGGAACCTGGAAGTACTCTCGCTGCATCCTCTAGGTCCAGAGCCTCCAAAGAAGAAGAGGAAGAGGATGCACAGGGACCATGACGATGACAGATCAGATTCAGACAGTGGCCCAGAAGACGGCCCCACCGACGATGGCGTCAAGTACAGCAGCCAGATGCCCGAGCGTCTGCGGCAGACGTACGTCAGGTGCTTGGCTCACAAGGTGAGGCGAATCAGCATTGCAAACTTCCAAGGGCGGCCTCTTGAAAAGATGCTTGCAAGGTTTCTGCTCTCCAGGGCTGTGGCGTTGGAAGAATTCTCTGTTACCTTACCAGCTGGAGTTCATCCGCGGAAGGCTGAGATCACAAAGGAGTTAAAATCCTGGCGACAGAATCGCCGTGCCAGAGTCACTTGTAACTTAGATTGAGGCAACATTTGCTTGAACCTGTAATAAGAGTAAACATTAGGAAGAATTTTTCTTTTGTTATCTTTGAGAAACGCCAGGATATACTAGATATCATTTGCTTAGTTGAGTATTTCTCTGTTATATAGTACTTCTTTCTCACCGATAATACTATATTCGGGCAAAATTAACTCAGGCATGTCTTGCTATGCAATTATTGTCGGACAAGCATGTTCTATGTTGCAGAACAATTCTACAACTTTGTACCAAACCAGCCTCAGTTAATATGGATCGGGGGGAGCACTGGCGGACCTCCCCGGTGGGCAGGGTATGGCACCTGCCATACCTTAATTTTGAGCAAAAAAAGATTTATACGTATGCATCGATACAGAGGTTCCGCTGTCCATCGATCGCTAATAGAAAAGGCCGTGTCATCGTCGACTCGTTCTTATGGGCCAACGCGGCCAGTGGCCTGATGGGCGATGAGTCACGGCTGGCCTGGCCAGGTTCGAGCATAGGCTTTTCTCTCGTCTCGAGTCTCGACCACTACTCGACCTCTCGACACGATGCTACGTGACAACCGTAGCGAGCAGCGGCGGCGGCTGGCCAGGTCGCCAGGAGCCCAGGAGGTAGGAGCGGCGGCATCGCGACGGCGGCGCAAGCCGGGGCCTAGGCGCCTAGCGGCGGCTGGCCAGGACGGCAGCACCGCAACAGCAAGCAACGGCGGCGCAAGCCGGGGCCTAGGCGCCTAGCGGCGGCTGGCCAGGGCGGCAGCACCGCGACAGCAAGCGACGGCGGCGCAAGCCGGGGCCTAGGCGCCTAGCGGCGGCTGGCCAGGACGGCAGCACCGCAACAGCAAGCAACGGCGGCGCAAGCCGGGGCCTAGGCGCCTAGCGGCGGCTGGCCAGGGCGGCAGCACCGCGACAGCAAGCGACGGCGGCGCAAGCCGGGGCCTAGGCGCCTAGCGGCGGCGGCGGCAGCGATCCGGTAGTCCGGCCACTTCTGACTCCGGCGCAGTTCCGGCCATATTGCAAGAAAATGGAAAAGTAAGGAAAGGGAATAAAGGAAAGGGGAGGAGGTAATTTCTGAACTTTTTTGAATTTTTATAGCAAATTTAACAGTAGCGGTAGCTTGAAGCAGATTGTAGATTTGTAGTGACCGAATGGATGATATTTTAACAGTAGCTTAAAGCAGATTTGTCGCGAAATTTAACAGCAGCTTGAAGTCTTAAATTCAATGTGAATAAGCTTGCTAGACTCACAGAGATTTATCATGAGGATTTCTTAGATTATGAACGTGACCATATAGTTGATAACCTAGAGCTATTTATTATCCATATGAGAAGAATTGAAGATTTTTGAGCTTGTCATGATATGGCAAGCCTAACTAAATAGATGGTTGAACTTGAAAGGCATGTTATGAGAAACGAGTGAGGATGGGCGGCTCTGGCGATTTGGGCGACGACGCCGGCGCCCCTGCTCCCTCCGCCTCCGCCCCCTCCGAGCCAGCCGGCGTGCCCCCCGTCCTGGCGCGGCCGCCGCCGCCCCTCCCCCCGCCCGCTCCGGCGCTGACCGCGTCCGCTGCGCCCTCCCCGCCCCGCTTCCGTTGGGCCAACTGCGCGGATGACATGCCATTCCCGCCGCCCGCCTCCCCCAGCGTCCTCTCCGCCTCAGCCCCCCTCGTGCGGGGTTCTGTCGCCGCCTCGCGGGCGCCGCGGCCGCTGTCGACGCCCTCGAGCCCGCCTCGGGCGGTCGGGGCTAAAGGCCGGGCCTTGGATGGTGGCGCGGCTCGCCGCCGGTGCGGCCTCACCTGGGGCGTGGCTGGCCGCTCTGACCGGGGGGCCGCCCGCTCCTCCTGGTGTCGCCCGATGGCGGCGGCCCGGTCGGTGCCCCTCCTGCCCTCCGCGGCCATTTCTCCTCCTCCGGCGTCGACGACCCCCTCGAGATGCTCCCCCTTCCGGCCATTTATTGCCTGCTTCGGGACGTCGGCCCTGCGGTTCTTTGCGCCACGCCCCCCTCTCGGCGTCCAGCCGGATCGTGCCGGCGGCGGCGGCGGCGCCTGCCCTGGGAGGGGA